AGCCTCTCAATCTGTCTCTTAACTTTACTATTTTTCATTCCTTGATCACTTTGCATTGCATTCCCTCAAAAATGAATCCGATTCATTTTTCTCTTGTTAATTTTCCCTTTGTTTTCAACAATGAATTCTTCTGATTGTTTTCACAACTGTATTATTTTCACTCTTAGGATTTCTAACTCCTTTTTTTCCTATCCAATCTAGTTTTATTTCTGACTGTTCTTGTTTCAGAGTTTTTTGTTTCTTTATTATGGGTATTGGTTTTTCCTTTATCTCCCTGGTGGTGTGAAACATCTGATTGCTCTACTTATTTTCATTTCAGACAGAGTACATTTAGCTTTTGATTGTTGGATATTTTTCCTTGGGATTCCTTTTCCTCATGTGTTTTGAAATTGTAGATTGTCCTCTGGATGGAAAGTGTTTGTTGTTCAGCTTTATCATCCTTGCTTTCTTCTCTGCTCTTTTCTCTTTCCTCCTGATCAGCTTTGCAGTGACTTCTACCTGGACCTACAGGGTCTCCAGTCCAGAAGCTATCTTCTGCTGTTTGATCAGGGTCACCCAAGCTCACATGGAGATACTGTGGCTCTCAGAGGTGCAGCCAGAAAGCCAGGCTGGGGAGGAGTGGGGCTTCCTGACTGCCCTGTTCTGTCTGATTCCCATAGCAGCTAGCGGCAGTGATTTTCAGTCTCCTTTTGTACGGAGGGAAAACCCCATCGCTGTTACTGATTTCTGCCCTTCACAGAGTGCATGCTTTGGTCTCTCTGTCCTCATAGGAATGAAACTTGTGAGCATCTCTGCATGGGTCTGAACCCAGGAACCCTGTAGCTTCAGCCCCACTTACTACTTATGTTTCTTTATTGTCTTGTGTGTATGAGAGATGTGTGTGGGTGTGATATCCGTGTAGTGGGCAGTGATTCAAAATGTGTACAACTTAAGTCAGAAAAAGAAATTATTGTGAAAATATACATTTCACTTCCTCAGTTGGAATAGCACTTTTTCAAAGTAGGGATGAAAACTAGAGAGATGGTTGTTTACTGCAAAATAAAGATGTTAAACATGAAGTGTTCCTGTCAAGAGAAGTAGCAAGCTAGAGATAAGGAAGATCATTTTTTTCCCATTTTCAAAGTATAATTTGTCCATAGACAATAAGAAAAATATGATCAACTGATTCCTTCTGATGAGATAGAGTAAGCTGTCAAGTGCTTACCATCTGGTTCAGCTCCTAATCCAGATGGACTGCCAGTAGTAATTTATGAAAGGTCTGAAAGCAACTTGCTGCTCTTGGGAAAGAATCATTAAAACATATTAGCATTGGGATTTACTCCCTTTCCTCAGCCTCAGCTTGTAACAAATGCAAAGGTGTAAGGCAACCGCTTCCATATAGGAAATATAACAGTTCATTTTTGAGCCAGAAGTCAATATGTCTGTGCTCTCTAGGGGGAAAAATAATTTTTCTTTCCCCTTCCCTCACCTCTCCTGGCTTAATGAATAGGGGAGAAAATACTTCCATGGTGAAATTTCCAACAAATGTCTAAAGAAGCTTTCACAGTCTGTCATTCCTGAGCCTCTGTGATGCTTGAAGAAGTCAAAATCGACATCAAGAATAATCCAGTATATTCCGTGTTCATACTACAGGCAGGAACCATTTAATCCATTCATAGAGTGCCTGAAGATCAAGCAGTATTTCCAGTGTAAATTACAGAGCTACAGATTGTTAGGCTTAGAAAGCAGGTCCACTGGTCACTTCTCTCCCGGCCCCTCAGGCAGCACATGAGCAGTGTGTCCTCAGAGTCCAAACAAAATGCCAGGGGAACTTGATTCTACCAAATTTCTATTGTCTGCCCATAGTTCTTGCCCTATCATCTGTTTAACACTACTATGAAGTAATACTGGGTAGCTAATGGAATTCTATTAATTTACTTTCAGTTCATGTAAGAGTTGCTGGCAGAGTTCGAGGTCATATTTTTCCTTTGATCAAACAATCTGCATTTCAGACTCTGAGGAAATTGGCAATATGAAGGCTATACATGTTTTAAAAGGTTTTGGAATGTTCAAAAGAAATGTCTGGTATCTTCAAAAGAAAATATCTGGCATCAATTTTTCAAGTGTCCAGCTGAAAATGGTGGAATAGGGTGGTTATAATCTGCAGATTAGGTTTTCATCAAGGAGGAAAGGAGAGGAAACAGACCTGGGGTTGGGAGTGTAACAGATAAAGGTTCCATTCAGAGGGAAGGGGTTAATGCCTCACTTGACAGAGATGATCTAGCTGAGGACACAGAGGAAAATAGGAGCTGGCTATCGTGAGCAAAATGATTGAGAACTTATACTAAGAAAGAGGTCTAAGCCACAAATAAGAAGGGTATGCACACGGGACAGGCAATTCAGTCTGTCCCTGTAAGACTTGAAACAGAGGAGAGAATTATCAGTGAGCCTAACTATGAATCCTAAACCATCAAAGAAGAAATTGGGCAGTTTTCGGATAGCCTATAACTTCTATAACTAGGCAAAGGGCAGCGTCCCCTTGTTTAAAAACTGTTGGAAACTGTTACTAGTGACATTTTTAATACAGTAACTATCTGTGCATATATTTTTGTTCCTTAAATCTGTGTCTTCTCTTCCCTTAAATATTGATCAAAGTGTATTTTATTTAATTTGAAAATATGCATTGACTTAATTCTTACAAGGCTTTGTATTCAAGGTTGCAGAGGATAAATGAATGAAAAGAATATTGTCTTTTCCCTTAATTTATAATGCAATAGATACACAAGATAAGGTATAAATCATCACTAAATGAGACTGATTTCCTAGGTCATTGAAAAATAAAAATGAATGATCCATCCAAAGACACAGAGAGAGAGACATTCTATTTGGCTTGTTATGATTCATCTAAATTAAAATTGTGAGTTGCTAAAAAACAGTATTTTTACAGAAGAAATGCTTGATTTGCTTTTGTTTCCAGTTTCCATTCTCTGTGCCAGAGGGACCTTCAAGATGTGAATCTGAACAAGATATCAGGCCCCTCTAGTGGTCACTTTGCAAACTACCGACAGACATTGAATTATCTGGCGAAGACTGCCAATTTCAAAAGAGCATGCCTGCCAGGCTTATCCTGCTTCCATCAACAGTCAGTTCAAGGGAAAGTGAAATTTTAGGAGAATATACCACCCCCTCCCCGCCATCGTATGTCAGGGACCCAGAAAAATTATCACAATGAGGTGGTAAAGAATGTGGACTCAGATTAGATGAATAGGTTCAAATCCCAGCCCTGCCATTTAATAAATGTGACCTGGGTAAGTTGCTGAGCATTTCTGTACCTCACTTTGTTCATCTGCAAAATAGAGATAACAGTTATAGCCAGATTACCGGATAGCTATGAGAATTAGAAGAGATTACTTAAAACATTAAAAATGATTTCTTGTCACCATAAATGGATTATTTTTAGAAAATGCTTACCCATTTACTTTGACAAGCTTTACCTTCTATATTCTCTGCACCTTCTTTCCAGAGTACTTACTCACCTTTTCTATCTTTCTCATTCCAAATTTGCCTATTTTACAGAAAACTATAACATATAGGACAACTGGGATTTGAAGTACCTGTTTAGCATACGAAGTCTGAAATGTAGTCAAAATATGATTACTGTTACCAATACACTACTTTTACAAAGTTCATGGGTATGAAGAATTATTTCCTAAACTCTCCTGATTTCATGATTATACTCTTTACTGTCTCTGCGTTATTAAAATGTGGAACAAGTTTTAATGTTGTGAAACACTATGTGTCAGGAATCAAATTTCTCCAAAATCAAGCTTCTCTGGGCCTCTGGGGGTCCCACAGGACACGCTTGAATCCCATGTACCTTCGACAAGATTCTCGAACTGCCTCGGCTCTTTGGCAGCCTTATTGTCATTCCTGTGAAGTCACTTTCCCTCTCAGGCATTTGGGATCCTGCCCTCATTTCATTACTAATTAAATTCATTTTTACAAAGCCATAAATTAATTATTTGAGGTAAAACTACTAAATTCTGTATCTCATTCCAAGATCTTTTTAAGCTCTGGGTAATTAAATGTAAGAGTTGTCAGCTCATCTTTATGAGTATTGGAAGGAAATGACTGATGGGAAATTAAAGATTTCAGCTTCTTACATATTAGGAGAGGCTCTGTCTCAGCGATAGGTTGAACACCGTAAAAGTGCTCATTGCATCAGCTGTGTCCTTTCATTGTCTTGCATTGCTGGCAAGCCTATGTTGGAAATGGTTTAGAAACTTGCTGGTGTGTCTTTAGACCATAGCGAAGGGGGTCCAACTCAAAGTTCGTTTGCTGTTTTAAAGGCATTTTCAGTTTGTGAACTGTCATGCCACTTTTTCTCCCAAGGCCAGCCCTTGTGAGAAAATTATACCTGTGTATAATTAACAGGTACAAAATTATATTATGAGGCTTGGTTTCTTTTTATGAACATGTACATCAGATTCCTTATTATTTGTGATGGTTTGATTTTCACCTAATGATTGCAGCCTTGAGTATTCATAATCATTCAGAGCTAGGACCTAATGTCACATGAATATTTTACCCTATTGGATCCATCAGTGTTTTGTTAATTGGCTGATACACATTTCTATTCAAAGATCATCTTTAGATAAATGAAGCTTTCAAATAAACCCCCAGGAAAACTCTTGGCAGACATACTGTGCTTTTTGCCATAGGGCTCTCAAAACATCTTAGAGAAATATTAAAAAGTGAATCTTTAGGAAAGAAGATTAGACCTGGTTGCAAAAACGCATAACTCATCTTTTCCCTCAGGCCTGGCTTAAACAAAAGAACATCATTTGGTTTTGCTCTGTGCTGTCCCAGGACTACAGTTTCTTAGCTCCTATTACCCTGAAGCCTGAAGCTTAATAACTTTTATCAAGTCATACTTACGGAAGAATCATCTTCCAATGTTCCTTATTCCTGGGGCTTCTCTCCAAGGGTGGAGTGAACTAACAGCTGACTGTTCCATTCAGCTCTCGGGTGACCGGTGTCCGTGAGATTATGGGCTGCATCAGAAGACGGGTAGAACATCTGACTGAACAGTGTTCAGCGCACAAGGAACTTTCTCTTAAGAGACAGCAATTAACAGCCTCAGTGGAGGGCCACCTAAGAGAGGTAATTTTATAAAGTGTGTCCTCCTTAAGGTATAATGCTATTTAGATGCGGCTCCTTACCTGGTGGTGACAGATGATGGTATGGCGATGACAGCATGTGGGCATGGTGGGAGGACAGGGCATCCTTAGGATTCCCTTCATCCCATGTTAGGCATTATATTCAAACAGAACGAAGTTGTAATTCACTACTACTCATCAACCATCCCTGCCCTAGGTTGCCAAAACTAGAAGCATCATCCTTCCTGCCTCCCAGCCTTGAACGTGTTTACACAAAGGCAGTTCTCACTTTGCACAGAACTGTCTTAACTGTGTTAATTAAACCAGGTGCACGATTGGGACTGTGTTCTCCTTGATTTACATGGTTCTGTGCATGGCTCGCATATGCATGCTTTGATTGACATGGCACCATACAATAGAAGAAGAGTGGATAATGCTTCCCCGGTGGCTCAGTGGTAAAGAACCCACCCGCCAGTATAGGAGACACAGGTTCGATCCCTGGTCTGGGAAGATCCTTCCTGCCTCGGAGCAACTAAGCCCCGTGCACCACAACTATTGAGCCTGGCTCTAGAGCCCAGGAGCCACAACTACTGACCCCACGTGGCCTAGAACCCATCCCCACAGCAAGAGAAGCCACTTCAGTGAGAAGCCTGCACACCGCAACTAGAGAGTAGCCCCCGCTCACAGCAGCTAGAGAAAAGCCCGCATAGCAGTGAAGACCCAGTGCAGCCAAAAATAAATAAATAAACAAATTTTAAAAAACAGCAGGATGACACCAAAAAAAAAAAAAATGATGAGTTTTACAGGTTCCAGGAATAAATTGCCATTATCATAATTTATTGAACTGAGACAGTGCAAAGTGCCAAGGCCACTCTGAATAAAACCAGACATGTAAAATCCTTTCTCCAAAGTGAATACATGGTTTGAAGAATTTTATTTCCTATTTTCAAAAAGGAACGAAACCAGGCAGCTACTATTTGACTAAATTACTGGTCTGTGAATGGAATTATAGCAAAACCTAGTAGTATCTCAGTGACATTAATGCTAATGAACCATATTGCAAAGGCTGGGTCTCAAATTTTCAATGATTTTTTTTTCATTTGCCTCAATGGACTTACATATCTGACTTACACAAATGGAATTAATAAACTTCACAGGGGAGGTCATTAAATAATCAAGTCTCTATCTATATTGCCTCCTCTCCTGTTATTGATCCAGAGATGGGAATGTGAGACTTGTTCTGATGCTTGGGTCCAGGGAGATTACAAATATGGCGGCAGCTGTAGTGTTGCATTCCCTGGAGCCTGAGATTCAAACTAATGTGGTAGAGGTGGAGAAAATGGTAGAAACTCAAACGGCTATTGGTAATTGTCTTGCTACTGTGAAGTCAGAGCCAATTTGACTCTGGGAAGTATGGACTCTGGTCAGAGTAAGGCAGTAACTTGAATTGAATAGAACCCTTTACAGGTCACTATATTCATTTATCCTTGTGTATTGAAGTCGCCCACATTCATCAGTTAAGTCTCCTGAGCATGCTCCTGTGTTTTCTTATCACATATATAGCAAGTGGTGCTGCCCTGGAGTCCCTCGGCCCTAAATAAAGTAATCCATAGAGTGATCTCATACTTGTGCTGAACCTCTGCTTCAAAATGTACCTGTAAATTGGGCTCCATTCAGCATATAACGTATGATTGTGATTTAATGAACCAGAAAAGTTCATCTCTATTGATGTGTTGACAAGTGCATTATCCTTTCTAGGTAATACAGATAATAAATTTTTAGAGAATGTGTATTGTTGCTGATATCTCATTGCTATTAATAAGAGAAATATCTGTAAATGTGTGTCCTTTCTTGGTGGGTCAGTAATACTACCTCATATGAAGAGCAGCATTATTAAATATAAAATTCTGAAATATTTTAGACTATTTTTAGATTAAATTGATATATATTAAAGTGTAATGGGAAAGTAGAGAGCAATATCTATCTTTCCTACACGTATGCATGCGTATATGCCAATATTTATTGCTAAGGCTGCAATATATTCTTTATTTCTGAAGGTTGAAATGTCCATTCAGAAAATCAGCACAGTAATTTCCAATGCAATGGATGTCGGTTCCAGCCTTTCTGAATCAGAGAAGATTTTGAGCAAATATCTGGAACTAGATAAACAAGCTAAGGTAAATAAAAGGAGAGTTATTATTATAGTTATGATTTTGTAAATATAATTTCTTTTCTTTTCAGTAGCTATAAAACTTAATCCTAGCTCCCTTAAGGTCTGCAATTCTAAATTAGTATTATGGCAAATAATGACTTAAAAACTCCTACTAGTAAGTGCATCTAAATTACTTATATGTGCATTTATTAGGGTGTTTGAGCTCACAGAAACTCAGCATTATGGGTTGGTATTAGACACTCATTTGGCCCTCTTTCCTTGCAGCTTCTTCTGGGGGTTCCAGAGGAGGCAGGGATTGTGCTTCTCTAGGGCTATTTGTGATTTTCTGGTAGAGTAAATTGCAAAAGAAAATTACAAAAAGCAGCATGCACTAATGCAGATTCCAGGAGGTAAAAAAAAAAAAAATCTTGTTTGCACACCCAATGTTTAGAGACAGAAGATGCCCCCTCTTCTATCTGGAATTTTCTCTAGCACCCTTTCACCCCTTTTGCATGGCACTTGGGTTCGCACAAAGTCCCCGCCTGCCCCAGCAGGTGGTTAGGAAGGTGAAGCAAGTACCCATGTCTGCAGGAAAACGGCCACACTATTCCATCATTTCTTTTTTTTTTATGTTGGGGTATTATTGATTTACAATTTTGTGTTCGTTTTTGCCATACAGCAAAGTGCTATACATATGTGTGTGTGTTCACATTCTTTTTCAGATTCTTTTCTCATCTAGGTTATCACAGAATATTGAGTAGCGTTCACTGTATATACATAGGTCCTTGTTGATTATCTCTTTTATATATGGTAGTGTCTATAAAAGTATATACATCAATCCCAATCTCCTATTTTATCCAAGAGTCTCCTTCACAAATAGCATCCCCACCTGAAACTCACAGATAAACCAATATTTAAGGGGCTGTTTTTAATTCATTATTTTTTTAAAAAAAACTTTTAAAATTCATTATCTAAAACATCTAAAATGAAATACATGCCTGAAGTCAATTTCATTTTTTTATTTTAAAAATTTGAGAGAAAAGGAGGCCATTTCATGGGGAGAAACTCCTCCATTTCCTTTTTCCCAGAGTATTCTGTGGGAGCAGCACTTGTAAATTAAAGTTACCTTCGGTTAGTGGAGTATTTGGGAAGTATATGAAATACAAGCGCAAGAGCAGTCCCTGCTTGTTGTAAATGAGGGTGTAGCTTGTCTTTCATGTTTGCTTGAATCCTAGCCTGGTCTCACAACATGGCTCTGTCTGTGGCAATCATGTATGTAGTGCTTACCTACCCATCCATTGAATCAGTGGTTAAATTTCATGTGCCAGAAATTACACTCAAGAGAAAATATATGAGAGCCACCCTAGGCAAGTCAAATTCACTGACTCTTTAGGTTATTCAGACCTCATCTGTACCGTATTGCCTACATGCATATATATGGAATTTAGAAAGATGGTAACAATGACCCTATATGTGAGATAGCAAAAGAGGCACAGATGTAAAGAACAGACTTTTGGACTCTGTGGGAGAAGGTGAGAGTGGCATGATGTGAGAGAATAGCAGTGAAACATGTATATTACCATATGTGAAACAGATCGCCAGTCCAGGTTCAATGCATGAGAAGGGTGCTCAGGGCTGGTGCACTGGGACGACCCTGAGGGATGGGATGGGGAGGGAAGTGGGAGGGGGTTCAGGATGGGGGACACATGTACACTCATGACTGATGCATGTCAGTGTATGGAAAAGCCACTACAATATTGTAAAGTAATTAGCCTCCAATTAAAATAAATAAATTAATTAAAAAATAAAAACTCTTATAAATGGAAATTTTAAGGGGACTGAATAATTAATATGGAATTTTTTAAAATTAAAAAATGAGTAAACAATTTCTATAAACTTATCTCATATAATAAAATTAAGTACTTTCTAGAGCTGTTGGTAAATTTCATAAAGCAATTATCATGTATAATTATTTTAATTATTTTAAACATGTCTGTTTTATAACCTTTCATATTAAACAAACTTTCTCCTATCTCTACACACACAAAAAAGAATGTTCTAAATAAGAAGTATAGCTAATAGACTGAAAGAGTAATTTGAGATGGTTTTTGTTTAGTGGTGCCTTTTCTTGAATTTTGAAATATGTGCCTTTTTTATTGAGGAGAGTTTGGGTACAAGTTCAATTAATAATCGTAATAGATGGCTGAACCAAAGGTAATGGAATGTGAGTGTTCACGATTCCCCTATCAACTGCTGACCGCCTGTGCCCGGCTTTCGTAGGAGACGTCACATGAATTAGAAGCAGCTGCAAAACTCTTGACAGAGAAACATGATTTTGAACTTGATGAACTGGCATCACTTTCTTCTAAAGCTAAATGGCTAGAGGAAGAATTAAACATATTTGGCCAAAGCATCAGCTCCAGGTCACAAGTCCTGCAAACTTACGTGGCATTTCTGAAGTCATCGGAGGAGGTACAGTACCTATGGGCTGACCTCTTTGGCAGCATGACAAAGAGGCTGTGTTGAAACACTTTTTACTATGGGCTGCAATAATTTACAATAATCTAAACATAAAACAAAATTATTTAAAAATCAGTCATTTTCTATTTTAAAGTAAGTCATCAGTCTCTTCAAAATACCTACGCAATATGTGTGATTTATTTAAAGTACAATGAATTGGAAATTATGGTCTGTTGAGTCTGGTCTCAGATCTGTCTTGTTTAAGGCTTCTTAATAAGTTTCCTCTGAGAGCTTCTTAGGAAGCATTATTTTGACTGGTTTGTACTAAACAATCTGTAAAATTCCCTCTGGTAGACTAGCATTCCGCCTCTCAAAGGTCCTAGCTTCTCGAAGGTGACATCAGTAATAGAAACGTGCTGGAATCCCACCTCTTAACTCTGGTCCCAGTCCACCCATGCTCAATTGCTCAGTTGTGTCCAACTCTTTGTGACCCCATGGACTGCAGTCCGCCAGGTTCCTCTGTCCATGGGATTTCCCCACTCAAGAGTACTGGACCAGGTTTCCATTTCCTCCCCCAGGGAATCTTCCTGACACAGGGATCAAACCCACATCTTTTGGTTGGCAGGCAGATTCTTTGCCCCTGAGCCGCCAGGGGAGCACCCATATGCATTCTCCTCTCAAGGAGAAGGGTGCTGCTTCAGTGGCAGGTAGAGCTCTGCAAAATCTACTCAGGGGTAAAGTCACCAAAATCAAGTAACCTTCTCCTCCAGTCCTCTCACCACACTCATCCTCACCTCACACCACCATGATCCCATCTGCCCTCTTTGCCTCTGTCTACTCTCGTTTCTACAATAGTCCAAGTTCTCACCATCTGAAGGAAGGCCGTGCCCAGGCCTTGGAAATCTCAGGGAACCACTGTCTCCTTTTCCACATCTTTCTTTATCCTGAATTTTTTTTTTCAATTTTTTTTAACCTTGAACTGTCAGGGTGTGGCAGAAGTACTCCAACTGACAGGTTGTTCTGTTGATGAACATTTTCTTCAAAGTTGACATGGTGGAGAAGGTACAAAGAAGTACTTGCTCTGCATCTTCATTGCCAAAAATGTGCCTTCTTAGTTTCTAGCTCAGCACTTACTTCTGCTGGCCACTCTGGCCTCTGGGACCAGGGCTGACACCTCAGCTTTACAGACAGCACTTCCACAGAAGGACCTCCTGTCCTCTCATCTGCCCAGCTTTCGCTCGGTTAGCTCACCTGGCAGAGGCCCCTGTCCTCACCTGGCAGAGCTTTCCGTCTGTCCAGCCTCCTCCTCCCATGGGCTTTCCTTCTTTCCTCACCAGCTTATTCAGTTCCATTACACTCCCCATACCCTCACTTCCCTGGTTTCCACCCTCACTCTGCCACTTCCCAATTCTAGATCAATCCAACACTGTTTACTTTGCTTCTCTTTCCAAACTCCCAGACACTCCTGTGGAAATCATACAATTGTGCTGATTGGTGCTGTTACAAATTCAAGGGTCTTTTCCTCAGCTGAGCACCCCCCTCCCCACCATATGCTCTCTAGTTGCTGCCCATTCAGTAGCGATTCTCAAACTTCTTACCAGAGTTTCCATTCCTAAATCTGCACCCTTACCTTGTATGTGACTGAAAAAAAAATGAGTCCATGAGCCAAACTGCCCTGTCTTCTATCAGCTTCCAAACCCGCTGAAATATTCACCCTTCCTCCACTGTCACCAATAAAGTGGGGTTTCCACGTATGTCCCCTCAAAACCAGCCATCAGTACCTCCCTGTCTGCCCCTGAATCCTTCAGAATGTAGCTTCAGCATCCATTCTTGAATTTTGAAAATGTGCTTCTTATATTTCTTCCCTCGTTTTCATCTACTGGTCTCCCCAAGTAGTCTTGCCCTCACTAAGGCTGCCACTCTATCGTTTTCTTTCCTTTCACATCTGGACTCTGGGGATGGGAAGATGACGCTTCTTTCCTCTTCCTGTTGATCCGCTGCAATCCTCATCCCACTGACACTCAGTTTATCCTTGTTTCAGTCTTGCCTTTTACCAACTCTTCACTCCATTGAAAACACTCTTATGAGCTTATTACTTGCTAGTTGACAGATGAAATGGTGTATTTTCAGTCTTTATTCCACTTAATCTCTCTGCCATATTTGTTTAACCCAGTTACTCATACTTACCTCCTTTATAAAGAAAAACAGATTTATTGAGGTATGATTTACATACCATAAAATTTGCCTATCTTAGGATGTAGTGATTTTTACTATTCATAAAATTGTGCAAACATCAATGCAGTCCAGTTTTGGTATGTTACCACCACCCCAAAAAGAGCCTATGGATACTTTTTTCAGTCCTAGTTGCCCATCCCCCAGCCTCAGGCAAGCACTAATCTGCTTTCTGTCCCTATAGATTTGCCTTATTTGGATATTTCACATAACTGGGGCAATCATCCTGTTTGCTGCTTTATCTGTTACTTCCTTTTCCTGATTCAATTCTCTGTTCCTGAAGTGTGGTGGGTCACAGAGTTCTTGCCTGTGCTCTCTCTTTTGTACATTCTATACACTCTCCCTACAAAAATCACCCCCAACCAACACACCTTTGGTCTTCAATCCATCAGTAACCCAAAATTGGTTCTTCAGCCCCAACTCTTTTGAGCTCCAGGCCAATATTTTCAGCTTCCAATTATACTACCTACCTACTGGTATTCTGTAACCTCCTTAAAACTTACCAAAACACAACTGGTTATCTTTTCTTCAAACGTGTTTCCTCCTTTATTTTGGCATTGGATTAATGACCCCTCCATCTTTCAGAAGTCCTGTGTAGAAGTTCAAAGTCTGCTCTAATCCCTCTGTTAATGAGCACTTATTTTGTATCAATATCTGAACTTTTAATTCCTGATTTTGTTTCATCCTTATAATATCCCTATATGTTTTCACTATTATCCTCACTTTACAAATGAGAGAAACTGAGGTTCTAGGAAGTTAGACAAAACAGGTAGTAAACATCAGAGCTGAGGTTTAATCCCCAGTTTCCTCCCTTTTGTTTTTCCATATTTTGAAGACCATGCTATCCCATATCTGTCTTTAGAGACAACCTAAGAGATTTCTGAATTCCTGTCTTTGTACCATCACCTCCTCAGTGCAGGGCCTCATCATCCTTGCTGAGGTTGAAGAAATTATATCTGCCTGTTCTCTCTGCCTTCTGTAATTCTCCCCTTCATGCCTTTCAAAAAAATGATCACTCTAAAGCAAATCTGATCATGTTACCTCCTAAAATTCAGGCAATATGACAAATGTAATTTGTGACCCAAATTATAACTTTTACTCTCAAATAATGTGTTAAAGCTGATTATTAATTCACTTAAAAGAAACTAGTCCATATTCAAGGGAATTCCTGTAATGACATCATGCTTACTTACATTCAAGGAGGTTTTTTTTGAGCAGTTAGGAAAGGAGGATGACTTAAAGTTTAGGTTTTGAGAATTTCACATAACTGACAGCCCATCAGATTGGCACCCCGGCCTGTAGCACACAATGCCACTGATGTACTGATGGTTGTCATGCTGATTCTGAGTCACTGTGAGAGCTGTCGGTTGTTTCAAGATAACGAGAATGTGTCACATCATGTTGAGTAGAGTACCAAACATGTTGAAACCTGCTGGCTGGCTTTATCCCAACCCAATGATCATGCTCGCTTCTTAACACTCAGCGTGTGCTATCTGAACTTCACCCACACCAAGATCATTTATCCCGCTCTTAACCAGCCCATGTTTCACACTTGTACCTTCACACTCATTATTCCTTCCATCTGGAGCCCCCTTCTCCTGCTCTGTGTCACCCTGGACAATTCTAAAAGACACAGATCAAGTGTTACTTCATTGTGCTTCCCAGTTTCTTTAGATAGAGTTGGTGCTCCCTCCTCAGCATGCCCAGAACATTGTGTGCATACTTGTCTTCATGTTATAATGATTTTCTTATGGTTCACTTTCTCCCAGAATTATCTCTGGAAGCCCAAGGAGATAGATGCTTAGTTCTTACTATGAAATCTTAGGAGACCCCCTGGAGGAGGTAGCATTTTAACTCTCTCACGAAGGATAAGTAGGAGTTGAAAACTGAGAAAAGATCATTCTGGGCTGAGGAAATAAGCAAGGGCAAAACAGAGGCATGAATAAATGGAATATGGGGAAAGAGGAGAGAACTTCTATGAGTGCCCTTAGTAGCGCTCACTAAATTAGGAACGATGTTAAAATCTTTAAAATATAGTGACTAACCACTGCCTGAACTTTCTTACCTTCTTTAGATGACTTTCAGTAGTTATGAACTCTTTGAGTCTTGTCTTATTGGCTGTTAAACTGAAAGAAAGTGAAAGTTGCTCAGTCATGTCAGACTCTGCAATCCTATTGACTGTAGCCCACTAGGCTCCTCCGTCCATAGTTCTCCAGGCCAGAATACTGAAATGGGTAGCTGTTCCCTTCTCCAGGAGATCTTCCCATCCCAGGGATCAAACCCAGGTCTCCTGCATTGCAGGCAGATTCTTTACTATCTGAGCCACTGGGGAAGCCCATTGGCTATTAAGTATTATTCAAAATGCTTAAAAAAGTGTGTCAAAATTTTTCTACTACTACTATAATACCCAGTTTCGTGTTAATCTATAGTTCTACAGGCACATCTGACTTTATATAAATTCTGTCCAAAGAGACTGATTTAAAATAATCTAGTACTGCTTACATTGGTTAGCCAACGAGAAAATATAATTCTAGGGAGATGAAGTAACCTCAATAACATTTTCTCATGGAGGCAGTTTAATATTAATACATGTACAGAAAATTCATAATTATTAGTACTCTTTTGTTCTGGCTTATCACTGAGAAGAAGCAAGTTGTGATTTACTGATTATGAATAATTTTTCACTGATTTACATTTCCTTTTGATTTGTAATCCTTGATTTTATATGTTTACCTTTCTTCTGAATTATAAAACTCAGCTCTAAAATGAAACCACATTGGTCTTTGACATAAATTGTCCCCAGTTGCAAAGCATACACATCTACAGCACATAAATATGATTTTGGCTACAGTAACTAGGTCTCCCGAATAATAAACTTGTCAGCTCAATTTACTACCCAGTGGTAGTCAGTCTGGTCTGTCAACAACCTAGATAGATTTGTGTCTTTTCAGTAAGTTGACAGTATTTAATAATTGTTTAAAGAATTCTGAAATGTAGGTTCCAAGTAAATTTTTATAGAGGCTTTCACTGGAATCTAGTATTTTTCAATTAAAAAATGTTTTTAAGTGTTCTTAACTTTTATTTATATTCTCTCTCTTTTTTTCAGGTAGAGAAGCAATGTCATGGCCTAAAGGAGTTTTACCAAACTGACATCCTACGAAAGGAAGAGGGCGGTGCTGAAGCCAAGCATTGGTCTGACTCAGTGGAGAAGCAGTGGCAGCTATTTTTAAAGAGGAGTTTTTTAACGCACGACCTTGGGCTCGAGTTCCTTAATTTAATAAATATGGTAAGAATGACATTAAATAAGTCACACCTTCTTCAAGGATTACTTGTCAAAGTCAAGTTCATAAATTCAAAATTTCAGCTGTCATTCAGTCAGACTGGTTTAAGAAGTTCTTTTTAGCTTCATTCACCTGCAAACAGTCCTGAAGCCCAGCATTTTTGTGCTTCTTTGGTCCTAGACCCCTTGTGAGTTTATCATGTAAAGGCTATTATATCTGTTAAGAAGAAAGAAGGACAATCTGAATGCAACAATGTTATTACTACACAGAGTCCTCAGAGGTTCACCCCAAAGTTCTGAGTTATGTTGAGAGCATGCAAAAAGATTCTTACAAGATTTCCAGAGGCTGAAGATAACATCTACGATGAATCTTCATTTTGAAGAATTTCTTATAATACCAGATTTTCATAGTGAAGCCCCATTGTACTTTGAAATGTACCCTAATTTTAGTTGTTAAGTTAGATCTGTAAAGTATACTGGAATACTTATATCAACTTCAGGCCCATTCAATATAGAACTCTTTATTCTTAAGAGATAGTTAATCCACCTCTCCTTCAATACCTCAAGTGTCTTCCTATTAAAACTGTTTGTTTTATTGTTAGAAAATTCCAACTTCTAGAAAGGTTTGTTTCTTTTTTTTTTTAATGTTAAGTTGAATCGCTCTTCATATCTGATTCTAACCCTCTATAGATCCACAGGGAAGAAAAATATATTCATATTTCATCCCTCTTACACTCAAAAATTTTCAAACCTGGAAAACAGTTGCAAAGTCTAATTTGAGTCTTTTCCAGCTAACTAGATATAAATACTTTGTATCACTTAAGAGGTAGCTTTATTTCTTTATCCTAATCCTCCCTCTCAGAATGGTCCGTGACTTATCAAAATCATTCATAAAATGTAAACAAAAAGTACAGTACCACTTTAACACAAAGTGGATATCATTCTTTACCTATGAGAACTAAGATTATAATAGTGCTTTTAGCAATAATTTTACTTTATTGGTTCATATTAAGCTTGTGATGGAAGAAAACTGTAATTGCATTACATTTTTATTGCAATTCCTGCCAAGATGGGTTTCTCCCATTTTATATCCTTGTTGCCTATTTATCTGTTACATACAAATGTGAGCTTTTATATTTATTCCTACTTTGTGTCACTTTGTTAGTTTTAACTCATGATTGCATCTTGTTAAACTAATTTTGTGCCTGCTATCTACTACATTAGCCATCTCTCCTGGGCTTAATTTCATATTTTAAAAAGTAAGCCTCCCATGGCTGCAATTAGATCTTTAATAAAAAGTGTCTGAGGGACAGGTTGATACTCCAATCCATTAAGCAATCAGTTGATAAACCGGTCTTTGAAACAATCATTGACACTCCCAATAGTACTTTATTTTAACCAGCATTTCACAACCTTTTTCTCAAGTCTCTATTGGAAGTTGCTGCTAAAAGGAAGGTCTATCTACCTAGTATCCTATTAATTGTGTAATATAATTTGGCAAAAACTAGGTTGACTCCTGGTGATCTAAGGGTTTTTTCCGAAGTACTCACAATCTGCTTGATCAGTAATGATTTTATTGCCCTGGTTTTCAGTATAAAGCTTATTGATCAGTAAATCACATAGTCCAGCCTTTCCCCCATCTGAAAATCAGGGCATTTTTCTTTCTCTAATTTTCTGGCCCTTCTCCAGTTTTCTGTAGATTCGCAAAGATGGCTGACATCTGCAGTTTTCTCAGAACTCTGACATGTGATGAATCTCAATCTGGAGCCCAAATTCATTTGAAACAGTCTCTAACTATTCTCATCTACTTTGAGCTACAATTTCTTCTTTATTTTAATTGTTTCAAACTTTGTTGTTTAAAGACCATTCTTCTTAAATCTGCATGGAAACAAAATATGCAGTAAATAATTCTAATTCATCTAACACTATCCTTAAGCATCAGTGAAGAACTGTTGAGTATTTTACCTATGTTCTTATATTTGTGCTTTCTATAAACAATATTATTTTTTACTTGGAAGATTTAGAATGTATATTATCTATCTATATCTATCTTTAAAATTTTTACTTTCTTCAGTATATTGTTATGTGTATCTCTTCACTGTATACTTCTCTAATTTGCACTTAAAAGGAATTTACTTATTTGCAAACTGCACTTTTCTTGGTCTAGCCTTTTTTGTACTGTCTTCCTTTTGAGAAATTATATTTTTCAGTTCTGGAATTTCTAGTTGGTTCTTTCTTTACTACATTATATTGCCAGAAGAAATCTCTTTTGTATCCTCTCTTTCTCCATCTTTCCTATGCTTTCATGACCATAATAATTATGGATATTTTAAAGTGTTTGTCAGCTAAATCTAACATCTGGATCTGGAATTGTTTCTATTGTCTACTTTTTCTCTTGGTTTCTAGCTGTGTCATCCTGTCTTGGGATGATGAGTGAATATCTATTGAATGCTGGGCATTATGTATAAAAAATTGTGATTCCAGATGGTGTTATGTTTTTTCCCTAGATAGGTATTAGCGGAAGATCACTTAAGCCAACCAGGAGCTGGTGAAGTTGAGTCTGGACTATAGTTCTGTCAAGGTTCCATCTATTCTGATGACCTTGGGCTCTCATTGTTTTCAAATGGGAGTTTGGTACATTCTCTGAGTTCTGTCTGCCTGGCAGGTCTCTAGCTTGAGGAGTCTTGGGAGGCTGCTAAAAACCTCCACTCTGCTTTTCAGAAGCATTTGCTTGGGTTTTCTAATCTACTGCCCTGCCCTGTTCAGCCCCGGTATTTTGGCAATGTTCTGAGATAAAGATCAGCTGTGTGCTTGAACCCCCCACCTCCACCACTGTCTGTCAAAAGCTCTACTGGTTTCTCTGTTCCCCAGTAAATCTTCATGATCAGCTTTACTCTCAGTGCACAGAATTGGGAAAAGCCCCCGGCTGCAGTAAGAGAGAGAGGTGACAGGTGAGCTCACCACTCTCAGATTCATCCTTCCCTGGGGCCTTGGCCTCTTTAGTTCTTTTGGGCTTTAAATAGATGCCTTCTGCCTTTATTCCAGCTTTTCTAGTTGTTCTAGGTAGAAGCACTGCTCTGCCCCTGGCTACTCCATCCTACTCAGAAACAGAAGTCCTTTTTTCCTTATTCAGAATGTTTAAGATCATATGGCCAGATTTTCATTTAAGATCTGCAGCAGGAATCCATTCAAAATTTTATTTTATATCTATGTCTAAACTTAGGTTCTCTGATAGTCAAAGGTCCATCCGGAGTTTTCAGAAATAGTGTTTATTTTACTACATAACTTGGTGGCCTTTTATCTTGACATTATAAACATGGTCACTTTAACTCAAGGTCCTTACCACTATCATATGATAAATTTCCCCTTGCTGATAAGAATTAAGGTCTACATAATTCTTAATTTTATTAGTTCAGTGGCATTCTGGGATAGAAAATTGTTGGTAAAGCAAAGATAACACAATTTTTATTCTCTTCATATCTTTTGGACCATTAGGCTTTTAAACAAACATTAGTGCTGAAATGTGGTAACCAGTTTGGTGGTTAGGAAGGAAGGCAGCCAGCTGGCACTTTCTGCTGTGTGCTCTACTCTTGATTGTTGCCAAGGCTCAGATTTTTCAAGCTTGAAATGAAAAAAATTTTCGATTCATCTAAATATCATCACAATGAGAGAAACTAATTTAGTGTAGAAATCTGGTAGACATCTTGATGAAAGTGCCAGTTTAGTAATTTATAGTGGCAAATAAAGAATGATACCTGGAGTACTGTCTGCCAGTTATCAAGATATCTGGAAAGCAAGATGTCAGGAGACCACTCATTGTGTGTGAATCTACATGGAGAATGGAATATCTAGTGCCCTATTTAGACCACATGATGCCAGATTTTTCAGTGACTTTATACAGAAGTATATGGAATGAGTAGTTAGTGTTTACTAACTAGACAAAGCATTTAATCTTTCTGAGTGGCCACTGTACTTATACTTGCCAAATGCATAAGCACTTTTCTTGAATCCTGGTAGCTAGGCATCAACAAATCCTATCATAGCGCTCTTTTTTCTGGGCCTCATTCAGAGTGTACACTCTTCAGATTATAGTTGTCATTGACATGCTACACATTCCAATTTTCCATTAGATCATGTATTATGTAACATTTTTATTAATAGTTTCTTAATAATATGTTAAAGATACCCTATCTTTATTTATAGCATAGATAAAAATACGATTTACTTTACGATTTGCTGTGGCTAATATCTTTCATAATATGTGTCTTGCTCATCATAGTTATAGAATACATCATTTTATTACTAGATTCCCAAATTCATTGGAGAAATCACATTTAGCACCTGCAGGCTTTTTTGCAATTAAATGACACTTTATAACGTCTACATTAATATAATTATGCAATATTAATGTCATTTAAAATAATTTTAAAATAATTATAATCTAAAAAGTCTTTTGACTTTTAGATACCCAGCTGTCATTGCCATTATAGAAATGGATGTACAGTTGCTCCTTAGAAATTCAAGGATTTCCTGAGAAGAGCTGGCCATCAAAGCAGATTTTTGTTTTGCTAAACAAATATTCTTCTGCCTTTTTTGATGTTTGGACATTAAAAAAGTACATGGTTTTACCCCTTGGCTCTCTTATACTTTTCCTTCTAATTGAATTTCCCATTATTTAAAACCACTGTTCAAAGGATTTTAAATCAGATAGCCAGAATATATGAAAGTTGGGAAGAGAAGTCTTGGAACTTAGATATTGTGCTTCTGGTATACTGTGTGTGTGTGTGTGTGTGTGCGTGTGTATGTGTGTGTGTGTGCGCGCGCGCACGCGCGCTCTGCCATGTCTGACTCTCTGCGATCCCATGGCCGGTAGCCCACAAGAATCCTCTGTCCATGAGATTTTTCCCACAAGAATGCTGGGTGAGTTGCCATTTCCTCCTCCAGGGGAATCTTCCTGACCCAGGGATTGAACTGTGTCTCCTGCATTGCAGGCAGGTTCTTTACTGCGGAGCCACCAGGGTATAGAGATACAAATATAGAGACACAGTTGGCCCTCCATATCCAGGGCTTCCACATTCCTGGATTCAACCAACTTTGGATCAACACAGAACACTATCCAGAGTTGGTAGAAACCTGTAGTTACGGAAAGCCAACCATGAGACTTTAACATCCACTGGTTTTGATGTCTAGGGCAAGTCCTGGAACCAGTACCCTCCTCCCATCCTGCCCCCATGAATACCAAGGAACAGCTGTGAATAGATGCACATTCCAGATCGTGTAACTTGAGGAACTTCTCACAAGGAAAAGTTAAAATAATTGTAGTGTATACAATAGGATAGTACAAAAAGAAAAACCTGGAACAATTTGCCCCCTCATGGCCCCTAATACTGAGATATTGACATATTCTAATGTGTGTTGAAAGGTGGAATCCACTTCAAAATGTATTCATTAAAATAATCTCAGCTTCAGAATTTCTATATCCCTGTGCTCATTCAGTCATCCTTCAAACCCCAGGAAATAAACAAATCTTAGAGGAGGGGACTGAAATGCCAGTGGAGTTATGAACAACTAGCAAGCTCATGTCCAAGCATATATATGGGCTCTAAGAGCCCAGCCTGTGCACAGACCTTTCATGTCATGGTCCATGCGCAGGTTGGAAAAGAATTTTCAGACATAAGGCACAAGGAGAGGAGAATAAAGTTTATTATATTGGGAGACACTGTTAGAACAGCAGGCCAGCTCAAGGGAGAACCGACACTGAACATGGGTCCTTAGTCCGTTTTTATACTCAGGGTACGTGAAGCAGGACAGGGGTCTTGCTGGTCATTTGCTGATTGGATGAGGCACATATGCTGGTGGGGGAAGAGTAAGGCAAATACCTTCCTCCCTTGGGGTAGGAGGGAAGGCAGGTTATACTGCTCAGGAGGACCTGAAATCCTTTAACAGTTACAACGTGGGGGAGGGAAGGACAATAAGGGTCTGGTTTTTTCTGTTCCTGCATTCCAAGACCATCCTTGTTTTTTTTCTGTTCTTTTGTCCTTGGGACACCACATTTCAGACTTTTCTTGATGTTAGGACGGTGCTCTGCTTTGGCTAAAAAGCCTTTGCCTCCTAAAATAGTTGTATGCAAAACCATGTTTATTTCTTGGAAAAGAAAAACCATTACACAGGTTATTAATTTCACAGGCAAAAGAAAATGAAATATTAAATGTGAAAAATGAAGTACACGTCATGGAGAACACTATGGAAAGCCAGAAGGCAGAAAGGGAAGAACTCAGCCACCTTCGGACAGCCTGGCAACTTAAAGCCGCTGCAAGCAAGCCCGTGAAACAGCAGTGGGCAGCATTCAAAGAGCAGCTTAGAAAGGTGAGGGAACATGCAGTGGGTTTTATTCAGACTTAGAAAGAAAGGAAATTCTGACACATGCTGTAACATGGAGGAAGCTTGGAAACGTAGGTGAGATCAGCCAAACACAAAAGGGTAAATATTGGGATTCCACTTTTGTGAGATACCTCAAGTAGTCAAATTCAGGGAGACAGAAGGCAGAATAGAGGTTATAGGAGCTGAGGGAAGGGGGAAATGGAGGTTGGCGTTTATCTGGGACAGATAAACAAAGATGGGAAGATGACAAAGTTCTGATGATGGAGGGTGGTAATGACCGCACAACAAAGTGCACTGACACCGCTTATCTGCACATTCAAAAGTGGTTAAAATGGTAGATTTTTTTTTGTTGTGCATATTTTACCACAGTGAAAAGAGGGCTTGTGCTTTTGTTCATTGGTGGTTTAGAACCAGAAGCTCACTCTAGGCAGTGAGTGTTTTCATGGCAGTGGCAAAGTTTGATGACATACCATGTCATCACTGGAATGATTATGATGTATTTGCTGGTGGCAACAAAGAAAACATATGCATAACTATCTAATGTCTATTTCAGACCATGCACAACTTAAAACTTCTTCAGGAAGTGCTTATGCCTGTGTCTGCACTTGACCTTGGAGGGAGTCTCCAGACCATTTTAGGTCTACGGAAAAAATGGAATGAAATGAAGCCTCAGTTCCAGGTGAAGAAGCAAATTGATGACCTTGGGTGAATGAAAAAGAATGAAAAACTGTTCAGTTGAAGCTCACCTAATTAATTTTAACCATCTGATGAATTACAATTTTTAAAAAAACAAAAGCATTGCTTTTCAAAAAGTCCATGTGTCAGACACATTTTTCTTCCTTTTTAAATGCAGTGTGCTATATTTGATATGCAAACATTTGGGCTACAAAAGGTCCTTAATATATTCTTACCTTAGATTATTTTAATTTAAATTATTTCCTTATTAATGTATTTATTATATATTTATTCTAATTCTTTTCCTAAAAGGTATAGATATGTTTTTGATTCAGAGATCTCAAAGCAAGGCTAGACCCTCTTTGACGCAGAGGTTCTGCTGTCCTTTGTCACTGAAATTATCCTTGTGATGTCATTGTCCCTACCCACTGGCACCCCAGCCTTCTGCCACCATCCCAGGAATTTTGCTGTGCTCTCCCGTTCTCCCTCTGAGAGCCCTCAGGGTGTGAGAGAAAAAACCATGAGTCATGTTCCCAGGCCCTGATGGCTTCTGCATTCCTTAACCCCCACTTCCTGCCACTCCTGAGCCAGACACAATTGCTGGAAAAGTTTGTCAGTCATTTTATCCCCCTACCTGAATTCTGTTCTTTGCTGCAAAGTTAAGATACCTGTGTTTCTGTTTTTCACTATTTTGCAAGTGTTGGATGTAAAGAATCCCAGGACTGGAAGTTTGAAGATTCCTTTAGGGAATATCTAATTTATGTTCCTTTAAGACAAAACTGGTGGCTTCTTTGGTGGCACAGTGGCAAAGAATCCCCTGCCAGTTCAGGAGGTGCAGGAGATGTGGGTTTGATCCCAGGGTCAGGAAGATCCCTGGGAGTAGGAAATGACAACCCGCTCCAGTATTTTTGCTTGGAAAATTCCATGGACAGAGGAGCCTGGCAGACTACAGTCCGTGGGGTCACAAAGAGTTGAGCATGCACACGCACACATGTGTGCACACACACACAAGACAAAAGTGATGTAATACATAACCACCCCCCAACACACACGCACACATACCATTGTAGCCCACAGTGAACTCTTTCCTCCAAACTCCTAGAAAATTCTACTAGCCTATCTGTTAGTTTCTTTGTTATACTGTGTCATATGTATCTGCATTTCGTGTGTGCACAGGCCCCTGCTCATGAGCAAGTGTGTGTGTGTGTATAAACTCCTCTAAATCAGGAACTGTTATCAAGATTTTTTGGCTCTGTCACCGTGATGTGTGTATATTTGATGCCCATGCACTTGATGTCAACTTGAATACCCTTACTAGGTCACTCTTCTGCTAATTATCTCCTTAGCTTAAATCATTTCCATTACTTTTATCCTTCACATAAAATCCGACCCTGAAATCGTAGTCGATGGCCATACCACGCTGAACATGCCCAATCTTATCTGAAATTATAGTGGCTTCCTCTTTGAACTGTCCACCAGGATCTAGATTTCTATAAGGGCTATCTGAGCACCGCTGTGTAGAAAGAAGGTGGTTTGTCCCTCCCTACAAGTGGTGGCTATTTGTGAATTCTAGGATGACTGCTTTTTTTTGAGGGGGGATGACTGCTTTTAAAGCAGCATAGCTACTGTGATGCTCAGCTGGTGGTTCATTCTGATCATTCTTTTATCCCAAAGGACAGATAATTCACCCAATGTACTTTTATACTTGTCTTCTTGTGGTGTTTTTATCATACCACCTGATTCTAGTTTTATTAAATATCACAGATGGTCATGGCCTCATAGAGTATCTAGAATATATTTACTTAGCAGATGACTAGATGACTCTGTGCTATGTCATAGAAATATATGACTTTCCATTTTGCCCTCTAATTTTGAAACAGTTTTTTTGTGTTTTAAAAAAATTTTTAAATTTAATGTTAATTTAAATTTTTAAAAATGTATCTGAGATTAGGATGGAATAATATATCCCTAGCATCACACACAATGCCTGGATTTGCAGGGATGGGGTGAGCCTCACAATAAGTGTTTGTTAACAAGTAAGAGAGTGATTTGTTATTGAGATCTTCATATGTCAGTTGTAAAGTAAAAAGCTCTCTAGAAGCTTAATTTCTTTTATTGCTTTCAACTCTTCAGCAACTGAATGATGAGGTTCAGTATATTATAAAAGAGTCAGAAGAGTTAAATGGCAAAGGAGCACCTGTGAAAGAAAAGTCTCAACAGCTGAAGGATCTTATTTACTTCCATCAGAACCAGAAACAGAGAATCCGAGATTACGAGGACATCCTATATAAGATTATCCAGTTCCACCAAGTCAGAGAAGAGGTAAGACTTACCATGGGTGTCTGGAAGACTCTCAGTTTTAAACTATGAAAATAAAAATAAGTGATTATGTAATAAATAAAGGCCAGATTGCTTATTCTGATACTAGAAGTTTTCCGCAATCTGGCTCCTGACTTTTCTCACACTGAGTGAGAATCCTCCCCAATCTACCAGCCAAGCAGAGCTCTCCTTGGTCCCTCAAAGATGGCACCCATGTTACTTATTCCAAGCCCTGACTCTTGGGCTGCCTTTATTTGTCAGGTCCTTCTCTCTCCTCTATACCACTTAAACCTTGTCCCTCCATCTAACAATCCTACCTCCCTTGGAGTGATGTCTCTCTCTTCTTATTTCCTTGAACTCTCACTCTTTATTCCACACATCTGTCTTTTTTAATATCTTGACTCTTAATTACTTTTGTTCCCCTAACAAAAGTTAGGGTATAAGTAACTTAAGGTAGGGTATATATAAGCAACAAAAAGGAAGAAAAAAAATTTATAATTGAAGTGTCAGTAGAACTTCATAGATATTGGCCTCTCTTAACAGAAAATACCACTGAGCACATACACACACAACAGAAAATAGAGACGTATTGAAATGCCTTGGAAATAGTTTCTGAATTTAGTCAAATCACAGACCTACATCTTGCTAAAGTTTTAGGCTATGAACAAACAGTGTTTTCTTCTTTAATAGAACTAGCAATGTTAGTCCCTTAATTTTACTCTATTGACTTGCACCATTATAACATTTATTTGTCTATAATACTAATAATTTTAGATGGATTTGTCAGCAGTGGACTAGCTAGTTAAATATGTTATAGGAAATAAGCATTTTTAAAAAATCTATCTTTGAGAAAAACAAAGATGTGTATGATATCGCGTGTGGAATCTAAAATGTATAACAAAGTAGTGACTATAACAAAAAAGAATCAGACTCACGTATATGGAGAACTAGTGGTTACCAGTGGGGAGAGGGAGGCAGGGAGGGGCAGTACAGAGGTAGGGTATTAAGAGGTACAAACATTTAAGTATAAAATAAGCTACAAGGACATATTGTACAATTTAGGGAATATAGCCAATATTTTTTATAATAACTATAATTAGAGTATAACCTTTAAAAATTGTGAATCAGTATATCATACAACTGTCATTTATATAATATCATACATCAACTATACCTCAATTTTTAAAAAAAAACTGTCTTCATAAAAATATGAAACCCAGGTTAATTGTTAATGGCCTTAATTCCAGCTGGGAAGACTCTTCAAATCAAGAGAACTGGAGTTTCCAGAACAGACAAAGGAAATGAATGATGCTCACAATGCCCAGGTCCTCCTCAGACGCTCTCGGGCAAAACAGGCGCACATAGACCATCTCCATAAACTGGCTCTCTCCTTGGGGGTGGATGTCATCTCATCAGTGCAGCAGCCTGTAAGCAACTTAGAAACTGTCATTTTTACCTGATATGGCTGGGAGTTGGGCTGTAATATGAAAGAAACCAGGCAGACTGCCTGGTATATATGTTCAATTAAAAACTACATTAAGCCATTGGGATACTTATTTGTTGTAAGTTTCTACCACGTCTAAACAATTCTTTAAGGAGAAAAAAAATCTGATTTTATAATCTTGTTTAATACATCTATTCTCATGCTAACTTAAAAGTTATAGGATTGTTATCTATAATGGCAGTTGGTTTTTCACATTGAAATAAAGAGGAACTAAACTTTTAATTTTATTTATTTTAAATTTTAAATTGATACCCAAAATTGTAAACCTCTTAAGTATATTTGGAGTGACTTGGGTATGTGGATCTACTAAACTCTATGAGATTTAAGTACAGAGCAAGTTTTTCTGATATAAATTTAGCAATAATTGAAATTTAGTCTAAGTGTGAGATATACACTTGATTTCAGACTTAATATGAAAAAGAAAACCTTACTAGTGTTTTTTATATTTGTTTAAACAAACTATATTGTGAAAATTAACTTTACCAGTTTCTTTTTAATATGACTACTAAAAAATTTAAAATTATTCATGTGGCTCATGTTGTATTTCTGTTGGACGATGCTTTAGCGTGTCAGATCTGAAAGGTAGCCTTGAGATAGTCAGACCCAGGATCCTCATCTTCAGATGAAGAGTCTGATCCCAGAGAAGCTACTTTATCCACAAAAGCCCAGAGTAGAGGAGCTCAAGCACCTTGGCTCCACGCAGGCCTCTGGGTACCAGTCATTGGATCTGCTTTTTCCACTGGACTGACCTTACCAAAGAAGCTTAAAAGAGATGGAAATAATTCCGGATTAAATTTTCCTAAATAACACATTGGGTTCCGATATAAAAATAAAACAAAAACAAAAACTCCTTCTTCAAATTCTTAATTTGAGGATTTGAGGGGAGAAAAGATTACGTTAATTCTATCCAATATGTATAACATTAATAAAAATCATAATGGCTAATTTTATTTCAAAGTTCATTTAAGATATCTACTAAACTATATTGTTGTTGTCCAGTCGCTCAGTCATCTCCGATTCTTTGTGACCCCATGGACTACAACACTCCAGGCTTCCCTGTCCTTCACTGTCTCCTGGACTTTGCTCAAACTCATGAGCATTGAGTCGGTGATGCCATCCAGTCATCTTGTCCTCTGTCATTGCCTTCTCCTCCTGCCTTCAGTCTTTCCCAGAATCAGGGTTTTTTCCAATGAGTCGACTCTTCACATGAGGTGGCAAAAGTGTTGGAGCTTCAGCTTCAGCATCAGTCCATCCAATGAATATTCAGGGTTGACTTCCTTTCGGATTGACTGGTTTGATCTCCCAAACTATATGGAATTCAGTAAATCTAAAGTACTTTTTTTAATCTGAAAGAAATACAAAATTTCTGTCGCTGTTAATAGACTCTTTTTCCCAAGAAGGAGCTTTCTTTTATTTTTTTTTTTATTTTTTTTTTATTTTTTTTTCCATTTATTTTTATTAGTTGGAGACTAATTACTTTACAACATTGCAGTGGTTTTTGTCATACATTGAAATGAATTAGCCATGGATTTACATGTATTCCCCATCCCGGTCCCCCCTCCCAGGAGCTTTCTTTTAAAGAGTTTTCTTTCATTAGTAGATTTATTTTTAAAAGAAAAGGGCAAGGAAGACATCTCACTTTGCACAAATAGTGTTAATTGTTCTCCAATTCACGTCTGGCTTTGGCTTCTGGAGCCCCCTGCACTGAGTAGAGATGGGAGCGCTTGCATAATGAACCTGAGGCTAACCTCAAGTTGACAAGAAAATTACAGTGTAGAAGCCAAATGTTTCTAATGCATATTTTATGCCTTTTGAAGTAAAAATTATACCTTACATTGAATGGTGTCTCTGAGGCATTGGATATGATGAGCAACTCTTCAAAACTGAATGTTTCGAGACTAAAAATGTAAGAGTTTGTCTTTCACAACTTTGGATGTTGCTGTCTGGCTTTCTTCTGAAATCCTTCTGAAATCAAAGAAGTTTAAGGTAAAATAAATCAGGAGCTTATTTTCTTTATTGTCATTTATGAGTTTCACAATGCAGGTAAATAGCGTGTTGTTCTCATTGCCATTTTGCCCATTCCTTTCATCATTTTCACTTCTCTTTCATTTTCAGAACTGCTCGAACATTTCTGCAAAGAACCTGCAGCAACAGCTGGACATGCTTGAAGGGGACTGTCTGACCTGGCGTGCCCAGGCCGAGGACCATGAGCGGGCCCTGACCCGCAGCCTGGAGTTCTGCATTACAAGGGATGAGATAAGTGAGGTGGGAACACGCGTGAACACACACACACACACACACACACACACACACACATGCACATACACACACAGTAAATCAGGAGAATTTCTTTTTACCCTTGACCTTTTAATCTACCAAACAGTGGCCCCATGGCTCAGAAAGGTTGAGTACAGAGTATATTTTAAACTCCCCAAACTGTTGAAGTCAGTATGTTGTCACTGTATAGAACCTGGAATGTAGTTCTATGGTTTTTTGCTTGCTCCTCCCTACCCACCCCAAACCCTTATAGCAGTAGTTTTGCTTGAGTGGCTATAGCTCATCAGGGCAGAAGGGTGACACCTTCCCGGTACAGCCAGCTCCAGCCTGCTGAGAGGCTATTTAAGTTCCACTGACTCATGATGAAGGGTCAGGGTAGCAAGCTTGCTGCCTCAGAGGTTACAAAGTATTATCACTAAAGTCAAGTGGCTTCTTTCATATTTACTCAAACCAAGTGGCTTCTCTGGCAAAGCAACTCCTAGAGAAAAAGAAATAACAGGTGAAAGTTATCTTCATTTTTATATTGTTTTTTTATTGTTTGCCACTTTATTTTTTTAATTGAAGGATATTAGCTTTACAGAATTTTGTGGTTTTTGGTCATACATCAACAAGAATCAGTCATAGGTACACCCATGTCCCCTCCCCCCTGAACCTCCTTCCCATATCCCTCCCCACCCCACCTTTCTAGATTGTCACAAAGCCCCTGTTTGAGTTCCCTGAGTCATTCAGCAAATTCCCATTGCCTATCTGTTTTACATATAGTATTATAAGTTTCCATGTTACTCTCTCAATACATGTCCTTAATTCCACCTGCTCTCTCTCAATTCTACCCACCTCCCCCCCTAAGACACACACTGAACTACAGCACCACCCTCCCCTAGTTAAACTTTCCATACAAAGGTTTACTTGTTTTAGGAGAAAAATAAAGGATAGCATGGGCCCTGGTTCCTTACTGGAACTGACAGCAGGACAGAGGTACCATAATTCTAGACTTATCTCTTTTTAAAGCAAGACATTAGGTCCATTAATCTCAAGCCCACAGGAAAGTGAGTGGAGCGGGAATGAAGTAGTAAAATTTCTTGATTGTTCTGCTTATGCCCAAGTTACACAATTTCAGCCCAGTGAGTATCAACTATTATCAACATTAGAGCATAGACTGAAGTATGAGTCAACCTGGGTCGTCGTCAAGCCCTTTATGGCCAAAGGCAAGTGCAAGGAAGGAGCAGGACTGGAAGGAAAGTAAGAGGGGGAGAGAGCAGGAGAGGGCGCTTGGATCCCATTCAGCAGGAGGGATACTAGCATCACCAGATTTTCAGTGGAGCAATGTGCCACAGGACTGTGGAGTTTCTGCTTCCAAGTATGTGTTCCAGGAGCCACCGTGGGCCAGAGACTCTTTATTTGCTCGGAGTTAAACACCTCGTGTAGCCTGTCCTCTATGTAGAATGGTTTCTTCCAGGTCATGTCCTGCAGTTAGCAACACTTCAGCGAGATCTTGTTAAGAAAACAACCTTGATTCTCCCCAAGGACGTAAAATTTAGATTCAGAGTCATGGAAATAATTTTTTTACTACCTTCTCCCAAAATTGTGTTCTTTCTTCACTTACATCTTCCTCCTCTTCCTTAAAAAGAAAAAAAAAAAAATTTTTTTTTTAACTTTTCTTGCTGAATTCAACTCTATCTTTACTGTGATCTTCAGCCCTATTTTATTGAAAGCAGAAGAGAGCAAGCTAAAGGTTATTCCTGGCTGCCTACATCTCAGCATCCCTCTTCCTAAAGCGCCGTGGCCTTTGTGGACCAGGGTCTCCCCACAGTGCTTCAGGCTCTTCCCACAGTGGTTCTATTTACAGGCTGCCTCGTCATGACCCTGTGCTGGAAGCCAGCAGGCTGGGAAGACAGATGGCCCTTCCATTCATAGCAGGGACGCCTGGGATTGTCTGTACCAGAACAAGAACAAGAAACCAGATACGTGTGGGTTTGATTTAGGAATCAGATATCCCTTCAACATGATCTTAAATATTAAGAGAGTGATTCTTCTCATTTGCTTCTTCTTCACATCCAACTCATGCTTGACACTAGTTACAGTTTCATGTTTAAAGGATCTTAAAAGTTTTGGCCTGTTTCCTTTCTTTTCTTTTTTTCTCTATTGAATACAAAAGCATTTATTTTAACAAACTTTATATTTAAAATAGAATTTTAATCTGTCTACTCACAAAACCTAATTCAAAACATGATGTATTTATCTCTCTGGCTGATTTGATGTTATTCCTTTACAAACAGTACTAAATTTATAATTATTTTATGAAGCTGTACTAAATGAAGTTTTTATTTTATCAGAGATCATTTCCCTTTAATCTTTTTAAAATTAATTTTTATTGAAGTATAGTTGATTTACAATGTTTTGTTAGTTTCTACTTTACTAACTGAATCAGTTACACATATACATATATCTACTCTTTTTTATGTTATACTATAGGTCATTAAAGAGTGTTAAGGAGAGTTCCCAGTGCTATCCAGTTGGTTCTTATCCAGGAAATATTAATATATTAAAATATTTATATAAGTTTTGTTATAAGACAGATACAACTTTGAGATGAGAATATTTTAATCCAACCTCTGTGATTATTTCTTTATTGATTAATTAATTTATTTTAATTGGAGGCTATTACTTTACAATGTTGTGGTGGTTTTTGCCATACATTGATATGAATCAGTCACGGATGTACATGTGTACCCCCATCCAGAACCCTGCTGCCACCTCCCTCCCCATTCCATCCCTCTGGGTTGTCCCAGAGTACCAGTTCTGAGTGCCCTGCTTCATTTATCGAACCTGGACTGGTCATCTATTCACATATGGTAATATACATGTTTCAATGCTATTCTCTCAAATCATCCCACCCTAGCCTTCTCCCACAGAGTCCAAAAGTCTGTTCTTATATCTGTGTCTCTTTTGCTGTCTTGTATATAGGGTCATCATTACCATCTTTCTAGATTCCATATATATATGTTAATATACTGTATTGGTGTTTTTCTTTCTGACTTACTTCACTCTGTATAATAGGCTCCAGTTTTATCCACCTCATTAGAACTGACTCAAATGCATTCTTTTTAATAGCTGAGTAATAGTCCATTGTGTATATTTACCACAGCTTTCTTATCCATTCATCTGCTGATGGACATCTAGGTTGCTTCCATGTCCTGGCTATTATAAACAGTGCTGCGATGAACACTGGGGTACATGTGTCTCTTTCAATTCTGGTTTCCTTGGTGTGTATGCCCAGCAGTGGGATCGCTGGGTCATATGGCAGTTCTATTCCCAGCTTTTTAAGGAATCTCCACACTGTTCTCCACAGCGGCTATACTAGTTTGCATTCCCACCAACAGTGTCAGAGGGCTCCCTTTTCTCCACACCCTCACCAGCATTTATTGTTTGTAGACTTTTTGGTAGAAGCCATTCTGACTGGTGTGAGATGGTACCTCATTGTGGTTTTGATTTGTATATCTCTGATAATGAGTGATGTTGATCATCTTTTCATGTGTTTATTAGCCATCTGTACGTCTTTTTTGAAGAAATTAGTTCTTTGGCCCTTTTTTTGATTGAGTCATTTATTTTTCTGGTATTGAGCTGCATGAGCTGCTTGTATATTTTTGAGATTAATTCTTTGTCAGTTGCTTCATTTGCTATTATTTTCTCCCACTCTGAAATCTGTCTTTTCACCTTGGTTTTAGTTTCCTTCACTGTGCAAAAGTTTTTAAGTTTAATTAGGTCCCATTTATTTTTGCTTTTATTTCCATTAACTCTGGGAGGTGGGTCATAGGGGATCTTGCTTTGATTTATGTCAGAGAGTGTTCTGCCTATGTTTTCCTCTAGGAGTTTTACAGTTTCTGGTCTTAAATTTAGATCTTTAATCCATTTTGAGTTTATTTTTGTGTATGATGTTAGAAAGTGTTCTAATTTCATTCTTTTACGGGTTGACCAATTTTCCCAGCACCACTTGTTAAAAAGATTATCTTTTCTCCATTGTGTATTTTTGTCTCATTTGTCAAAGATAAGGTGTCCATAGGTATGTGGATTTATCTCTTGGCTTTCTATTTTGTTCCCTTGATCTATATTTCTGTCTTGTGCCAGTACCATACTGTCTTGATGACTGTAGCTTTGTAGTATAGTCTGAAGTCAGACAGATTGATTCCTCCAGTACATTCTTCTTTCTTAAGGTTGCTTTGGCTATTTGAGGGTTTTTTGTGTTTCCATACAAATTGTGAAGTTGTTTGTCCTAGTTCTTTGAAAAATACCATTGGTAGCTTGATACGGATTGCATTGAATCTATAGATTGCTTTGGGTAGTATACTCATTTTCACTGTATTGATTCTGCAGATCCATGAACACAGTATATTTATCCATCTGTTTGTGTCCTCTTTGATTTCTTTCATCAGTGTTTTATTGTTTTCTATATATAGGTCTTTTGTTTCTTTAGGTAAATTTATTCCTAAGTATTTTATTCTTTTTGTTGCAATGGTGAATGGGATTGTTTCCTTAATTTCTCTTTTTGTTTTCTCATTGTTAGTGTGTAGGGATACAAGGGATTTCTGTGTATGAATTTTATATCCTGCAACTTTACTATATTCACTGATTAGCTCTAGTAGTTTTCTGGTGGTGTCTTTAGGGTTTTCTATATAGAAGATCATTTTATATGCAAACAGTGAGAGTTTTACTTCTTCTTTTCCAATCTGGATTCCTTTTCTTTAATTTTCTTCTCTGATTGCTGTGGCTAAAACTTCCAAAACTATGTTGAATAGTAGTGATAGTGGCCTCATAGAATGAGTTTGGGAGTTTACCTTCCTCTGCAATTTTCTGGAAGAGTTTAAGTAGGATAGGTGTTAGCTCTTCTCTAAATTTTTGGTAGAATTCACCTGTGAAGCCATCTCATTCTGGGCTTTTGTTTGTTGGAAGATTTTTTATTACAGTTTCTATTTCCATGCTTGTGATGGGTC